TGATCATCATTCTTTCTGAGAACTTAATGCTAGAGTTATATCCTGACACTTAGTGTCCCAAAGCAATGCATGTGAAGTCCCACAGACTAGCTTAAACTCACTTACAAGAGACCTACATTGGATATTTTTTTAAATTTTAGGCATCTATAAAAGTATCAATATAATAGTTTCCTCTTTGGATTGGGAGAAGTTTAAATGCTGAAGCAGTTTCTCTGTTGATGGTTAAATACCCAAAATATAAGACATGATGTTATTGTTACTATTAATTTCATGATAACCTTACAACTATCACCAGAAGTGTCACAACTGAGAATGAGAATGTGGTACAGTTCCTCTGTCACTAATGCTTAGCAGGAAATGTTTTAGTAGGCTGAGCATTCCCACCTGCCCACCTGAAATGACAGTAATCTCCACTGGAACCTAAGGAGGGTACTTTGCTAGGACCTTGGCTCTTCTTTCCATCTAGATTTCTTATCTCCCAGCCCTACTGAAGGTGAAGGTGAGGATAACTCTGAAATGCTCCAGTTCCTCAGTAAGCTGAGCCCTGAAATGTGACTTTATTTTTAAGAGCTAGAGTGGGGGGAAGTATTGGTGCATCTAGAATGAGTATTTCCTGCTAGTAATTTTGTTCAAAGGTAGAGAAAACCTCAGTGTGTATCAAGAATAGACAGCTGTCCAACAAAGGAGAAATTCCTGAAAGGTCCACATATATGTGGTCATCTAATTTATGCCAAAAGTAACATTGCACTACAATGGGGAAAAGATGCATTTTCAATCAGTGGTGTTGGGTTAATCTGATATTCACATGGGAAAAGAAAACATCTTGACTTTAACCTCACATCATGCAAAAAATCAATTCTCTGTGAATTCAGATCAAAATATGAAATATAAAATAATACAACTTTTAACTTTTAGTATAAACATAGAATAACCTCCTCATGATCTTGGAGTAGGCAACAATTTCTTACATGGAACACAAAAAGAGATAACTATAAATATAAAAAGTATTAAATTGAGTTTTATTAATATTAAGAACTTCTGTTCATAAAAAAAAAACACCTATAAGTGAATAGAAACACAGTGTACAGAATGGGAGAATATATTTGTGTTCTTGCTCTCTACCTTGCCCCATCTCTATATATATATATATAATATAGAGTATGTAGTATAATATATAAAGAACTCTAACAAATAGGCAAACAATTGAAAAAAAGGCAAAAGATGTGAACACTTTCTGAAACAGAATGTAAAATGGTCAATACTGACATTAAGAGAAGTTCAACTTCATTAATCACTGGAGAAACAGATTAAAATGCAGTGGAAAACTACTATACCTTCCACCAGAATGTCTAAAGTGAAACAGGTGTAAAGTACCAAGTATGGCTGCTAATATAGGGGAACTGAAGTTCTCATACATTGCTGATGGAAGTGTAAAATGTTAGAACCACATTGGAAAACTATTTGGCATTATCTACTAAAACCAAACATATGTATTTTCTATAACCTAACAGTTCCATTCCTAGATATACAAGGTCTTCCTGGAAAAAGTCCAGCCATTGTTGCTATAATGAGAACAATTTGCCATCACAATTTTTATTTTGATGAGATCCCATTTATTTATTATTTCCTTTATGTCCCCTAGAGCAAGAGGACATCAGTGGAAATATTGCTGTGTGGAATATCTGAGATTTTCCTGCCTATCTTCTCCTCTAGTACTTTAATGGTGTTACAACTTATATTTAAATCTTTTATCCACCATCAATGTTGTCATCCATGTGACCTGGCAGTCAAGGAGAGTGGATTAGAATGCACATGTGTGAGCAATGGCGACTTCACTGAACTAGTCAGTAGGGTCTGTAGACACTGTTAAGTGAGCATGTGTACTGTGTGTCCATCACATTCAAAATGACTGACTGAATAGAACAACGAATCTGTGTAAAATTTTTCATTAAGCTTAAATATTCCTCCATGGAAACTATTTGGACGATACAGAAGGTTTTCAGGGACAATGCAATGAGTGCAGCATGAATAAAGGTATGGCACAAACACTTCAAAAATGGTCAAGAATCTGTTGAAAGTGATCCACATTCTGTTCTGCAACAAGCAGAACACCTGAGAATATTGAATGTCTATGGGCTGAAATCAACAAAGACTATGCAAGAACTAGAAGCTGATTGGGGGCTTCCCAAAACTACTGTGTCCAACAGCTACATGCAAAAATATGAAATTCAAGCACCAACATATACCATACCCAAAAATAAATTCAAGGTGGATAAAAGATTTAAATATAAGTCGTGACACCACTAAAGTACTAGAGGAGAAGATAGGCAGGAAAATCTCAGATATTTCACGCAGCAATATTTTCACTGATGTGTCCCCTAGAACAAGGGACATAGAGGAAAGAATAAACAAATGGGATCTCATCACAATAAAAAGCTTCAGCACAGCTAAAGAAAATGCCATTAAAATGAACAGGGAACCAACTGTATTGGAAAACATATGTGCCAATGACACCTCAGACAAGGGTTTGATCTCCAAAATATATAAAGAACTCACACGACTCCACTCTAAGACAAGCAACCCAATTAAAAAATGGGCAAAGGACTTGAACAGACACTTCTCCAAGGAGGACATACAGAGCATCCAGAGACACATGAAGAGATGCTCAATATCACTAGTTATCAGAGAGATACAAATTAAAAGCACAGTGAGATACTGCCTCACACCATTGAGAATGGTCATCATAAACAAAGCAATAAACAACAAGTTTTGGAGAGACTGTGGAGAAAAGAGAACCCTAGTGCACTGTTGGTGGGATCGCAGACTGGTGCAACCACTATGGAAAACACTATGGAATTTCCTCAAAAAACTAAAAATGGAATTGCCTTTTGACTCGGCAATTCCACTGCTAGGATTATATCCTAAGAACCGTGAATCACCAATCCAAAAGAACCTATGCATCCCAATGTTCATAGCAGCACAATTTACAATAGCCAAGTGCTGGAAGCAACCTAAGTGCCCATCAGTAAATGAATGGATCAAAAAACTATGGTTTATTTACACAATGGAATTCTATGCAGCAGAAAGAAAGAAGGAGCTCCTACCCTTTGCAACAGCATGGATGGAGCTGGAAAGCATTATGCTAAGCGAAATAAGCCAGGTGGTAAAAGACAAATACCATATGATCTCACCTTTAACAGGAACCTAATCAAAAAAACAAACAAGCAAGCAAAATATAACCCAAGACACTGAAATTGAGAACAGGCTGACAGTGACAGAGGGGAGGGGGTTATAGGGGAAAAGGGTGAAGGATTTGCAGGAACAATGATAAAGGACACATGGACGACTACAAGGGTGGGTGGAAACAGGGCAGGGAGATGGGGTGAGCTGAAGTGGTGGGGAGGGGTAGGGGGAAAAGGCAGAAAACTGTACTTGAACAACAATAAAAAATGTTTAAAAAATAAAATAAAACTACGGTGTCCAAGATTTTGCAGGATCTTGGCATAAAATGTGAGGAAAAATTTGTTCTACAGCTTCTGCTACCATAGCAGAAAGAACATCATGCTGCAGTTGTTAAAGACTTGATTCAGGTTGCTAACAATGAACCACATTTCCTCAGGAAGGTCATAACCAGAGATGAATGGTGAGTCAACTGCTATGATCGAGAAATGAAAGCCTGCTCATCCCAGTGGAAGTCGACTGGTTCTCCATGTCTAAAGAAGGCACTGGGCAAAGTTGCAACAAGATCAAGACTGCCAACTGTGTTTCTTGATTGGGAAAGTGTTGTTCATCAAGGCGTTTAGTCCCTCAAGGACAAATAATTAATAAGGAGTACTATCTTAATGTTCTTCATTGGTTGAGAGAGGCAATACGATGAAAACAGCCACAGCTATGGGCAACTGGTGATTGGCAGCTTCATCACTACAATGTACCCAATCATGCATCACATCCCCTGTAGATTTTTTCTGGTGAAACATCAAATCACTCAGGTGACTCAGCCCCCTAGAGCCCAGATTTGGTGTCCTGTAACTTCTGGCTTTTCTCAAAACTAAAATTACCTTTGAAAGGGAAGAGATTTCAGACTGTTGATGAGATTTAGGAAAATATGACAGGGCAACTGATGGTGACTGGGAGAACTGTGAGAGGTCACAAGGTGCCTACTTTGAAAGTGACTGAGTCATCATTATCCTGTGTACAATGTTTCTTGTATTTTGTTTCTTCTTCAATAAATGTCTCTATTTTTCATATTACATGGCTGGATACTTTCTGGACAGACCTTCGTATACCCAAAAGAAATGCATAAGAATATCACTTGCTAAAAAGTTACTACACACACACATGAAAAAATGCATACAATTTTTAACCAAAAGACACATACAGTGATATTTATTACAACACTATTTGTAATAATCAGGACCTAGAAACTCCTGGAAACTAATGGGCATCAACTGTAGGATGACTAGACAAATTATGGTTTGTTCACATGATGGGACATTGTAAAACAGGAAGAAAAATGATCTACAACCACAAACAAAGTTATGAATGAATTTCACACATGTTGAACAAAAGAGGCCAAACACATAGTGTATGATTCCACTTATATGAAGTACGTACACTAACCTATTCTGTCTGATGTCAGCACTAGCAGTTACTGTTGGTGGAGAGTAGTAATAAGGAAGTGTCGCAATAGGTGCCTCTGGGTTTCTTTAGCTGATTCGACTTGCACAGGCATGTTCAGTTTGTGAAAATTTATTTAGTGTATAATACACATATGACATGTGCTTTTCTGTGTATATATATACCATCATACCATATATACAATGTTCATATTTTAACCATAATTATAGTTTAGAGCCCAGCATTCATTGAAAAACCTCAATGACAGCTCTATCTTTCTTCACATTACACAAATCTTGTAACTAACCCTTAGCTCATCTTTCAAGCTATAATTTTTAAGATTTTATTTTTAAACTCTTTCTTTTTCTCTTTCTTTTCTTCAGGGTCCTCCTGGTCCAAAAGGTGATAAGGTAAGGAAATGAATAGCAGAAACAAATTAAGTTAGTGGAAATCTATATTGGTATGACCTAAACTATGATCTTTTTAATGAGCATCACATACTGACTTAGTGCTTAAACTACCTATCATCTCATTTTTCTACTCCACAGGGAGAACAAGGTGATCAGGGACCTCGGGTAAGTTGTACTCTTCCAGTCCTGAGCAGAAAATTAGTTTTCAGCTCCAAACTTACTGAATGAAAGTAGCCCTGGCTTTGTAACTGCCTTTGTATCACTTAGTTTAGTGATGGCCAGCACGAATACTGTACCACTTGTAAGTGAAATAGCCTTGAGAATAACTAATGTGTATATACTGTTGCATCATCTTTACTCGATAACTATAAATAGTACACTCTACAGGAATTTGTCTTACTGATTAAGGGCCAGAATTGCTACTAAAAGTGAACACCACCACCTTTCCAGAGGCTGTTGGGTCCTTTATTATTGCATGCAGTGTTTAGCAACATAAAAGCTATGTGCATTCCTGTTGAATTTGACTTTTTTTCTGCAGTTAAACTTTATGTGCTATTGCATAAATAGGATATGTTATAGATGAAAATATTAATGCATTTGATATTTTTATTCTTCATCATGTTTGAATAATGCTTATTTGAATATCTTATTTTTAATAGATTTTGAAGCAGATAAAAGGTGTAATATAATTTAGCATTCCAGGGAGGAGGGTCATCTTTTTATTCTTCTCAAATGTGGCTCTTTTAACCATTAAACACAATGGTGAATGCGTTGTTGTTACCTTGGTAGTGCCAAGTCCTCTGCTCCACATCTGTGCCTTATTACCCAAATGTTCAGACATACTGTTCCAATGATGTAGTGGCTCCGTTCAGACATACCTCTCAATTTTCTCATGTCACTAAGCACAAAAGCGAGCATTTGGTTGAAGAGAGTCATTTTTTACAGTGGAAAAGTACATTTAAAACTTACAGGTTGAAAACACAATTATGTAGGATTTTTTTATCATTGTGCATAATTATTGAATTCATGTATACCACAGTAGAGGGTTTATTGCAAAAGATGTAGTCAATGCAAATTTGAAAAGTCTGTAGTCTTACCTGCTCATGCTTATTAAACTAGGTAAAAGTTATGCTATGATTTACTTCCCTTGCTATTCTTCAGCCATTCTGCATAGAGAAATGATTATGCCTTGGAGCATTTTGTTTCTCATGGCAGTTATTCTAGTTGATGACTAGCTTCAAGGTAAAAGCTCACTTTATGGTCAAGGAAATTAGACATTATGATATATGTCATGGATGTGAATGGAATAAAATTCTCATAACCTTAAATGATTAGCGTATAGCCACTTGCTCTGTATGTGGTGATTATTTCACATGGCATGTCTCCATGTATTGAGTATCATTTCTTTCTACACGCAATATCAAAATCACTCAACTTGCCCTTTCCAGGTAAGAGGGAGACTGTTTCCATTCTGAGAAATCTTCTTTTGGCGAAGGAAGTGGAGGGGTGGGCCACAGCTTAGCTGTCATCAGTATGCATGCAGCCCTAATTTTCAAAAAGGTGTGTTGGCTTTCATCGTTCCAAAAAGTGATGATTGATTATAAAGCTAGGCCAAATTTTCAGGATGAAACCTGAAACCATGTGAAATTCACCTGGTTTCATGTTGCAGTACAAACTTAGACTTGGACCAGGTTTCTTGGAAGTTTGGCCAAAGTTCATGAACTACTTTGACGAACCCAGACTGCCTTTCCTACAGATTTCAGCCAGTTTTCACACTGACTCAGGCCAAGTTTCACACGATTCAGGGGCCATTCAACATTTCAGGTGCAAAGTGGCAAAAAAATGATCCCATTTTCCCCTGTAGTTTTCTTTGTATTAAAGGAATTTAGATTGAACTAACAATGCAGAATAAATCTTTATGGGTAAAGATCTAAGTGTCCTGGAACATATATGAGAGAGAGAATGAAAACCTACTGAACTGCCTCTCTCTTCTCAGATTCTTAACTTAGAGATCAGGCAGGTCACGTTCAGTGCTTAGATTTTATAAATAGTCCTTTCTGGTAAGGTAGTGTTAGCTACTTATTAGGACATTTATCATATCAAGATAATAAATGAATGTTTTATATTTCCAGATAAATGAAAGTAAGTTAGAACTGGAAAAGTCTTCAATTTAATTAAAATTAATTTTACCCACATCTTCTATAGGCACACTGTTCCAGCTGATGCAGACAGACTCTCTTTCTAAAATGTAAATTCTTGTATTTGAATACCCTGACCCTTTTTATGCTATCAAAGATTTGAATTCTACTTTTCACCATTTGTTTCAAGTAATTTATTTCTTTCTGTAATTAGCTTAACAATATGGTCCTCCATCATTTCAGTTCTTTGCTGGCTGACATTCCATTATGGGACCTATACTGTTCCCTTGAATATGGAGTTCATTCACTTTCTCTTTGGCTCCCCAAGTGTCACACAGGAATATATTAAAGTATAACATGTGAATAAAAGCAGGAAAAAGGTAACATAGAAATTAAGAAGGTGAAAGTATCTTGAATTCTTGGACATATACTTAGCAATGTATATTGAACACCTACTAAGTTCAAGGTACCATGTGAATACTACAGACACGATAAATATGTCAACTTCTCTCTCTCCTGCTACCACGACATTCACCCTACTTTCCTGTTCTTGATTGCTATGGTAAGCAAGAGTCCAATTAATCTTGCTTCCAATCTTAAGCCTGTATAATCCATTTTCTATACAGCAGCCAGAGATATCACGTTACATTATAAATTAGATAATACTACTCCTTGTTTTAAACCTTAGAATGAAATCTAAACCACTTGTAAAATCACAGACCTTCAAGGTTTAGTCTTTGCCTACCTATGTAACCTCATCCTATACTACTAGTCTTCTGCTCCACACACTGTGCTCCAGCCACACTGTCCTCCATGTGCTCTTCAAACACACCACACTAACTCCTAACTTGATGATGTGTTTCCATTTGCTCTCTTCTGGCCTTCTTGTGATAGGATTTTTCTTATCATTGAGATTTCATTTCAAATGCCTCCCCAGGGAGAACTTCCCTAACTATCCAATCTAAATCTGAGGTTATCCTATTTGCTTATTTATCTATTTGCTTGTTATCTGTAAAACATGTTCTTCCTGGAAACATAAACTCCAAGTACCTGGTCTGTCTTGTTCTACCACCATCACCTAAAACAGTAAGGACTTAATAAATATTTATTGAATGTTAGAATGAAATATTATTACATCATTACTACTCCCAAGATCTGATAATCTCATGGGCGCCTGAATAAGAACACTATGTGGTTTTATAGTATATGCCTTAAATAGCTGTGCCAAGAGATGCTACAAAGTGAGCATCTTCCATTTTAAATAACTGGAGACTGTGGAAGAATTATCATTTGAGCTAGGACTTCATAAGTGGGTAATCTTTAAAAGATAAGATTAAGAGCTAGACATTGCACATTCCCAGAGGAAGAAAAACAATATTAATCATGTAGGAAATGATAGGATTAACTTAAGAAACAATAATATTCCATTTGCCAAGGAAATAGGTTAAATATTAAAAATTATATAAGGCTAAATTTTTTATTAAAGTTATATTATGAAGCGTTTTGACTGTCTAGTGTGGTGGGCAGTAGAGGGCCACTGAAGATTTTTTTAATTACGTCATTTGATATATATTACCAGCAGACTACTGGGTGTTATTACCAAATGTTCTTTATGAAAATCTTTTTGCTTGTCAATATAAGGAATGCGCAAACCTGTAGAAAATTTTTGTAAGAGTTTATTTAAGTCAAACTGACATGACCAGAAGCAAGATCTCAAATGATCCACAGAATAACAGCTTTTATGCATTCATTTGGAATGAAGGAGGGAACGTTAGGAAGATTATATGGAGGCAGGAGAAAGCAAGGACAGGGAAATCTGTATGGTTGGATTACAGGACAGTTAACAAGATTTATGTGCTCCCTTGAGTGTGGCTACACCTCCAAGGGGTCTAAAAAAGAAGATTACTTTGGCATTTCAAAGGTTTGTTCACCTAGCTACACAAGAACAACGGACAGTGCTTGCTTAAAGCAAAGAAAAACCTTTTATAGGCCTGAGGTGTGACTATCCACCATGCCCTGTCCAGTTAGGAATTTATGATCAGATCACCCTGTGAAATTACTTTTGGTCAGTGGACTTGGCAGGTTTATTATAGAATCCTTTTTTTTTCCCACATGTTGATAGCGTCCAGTACAAAAAGGAACTGGAATAGACTGAAAGCAGGGAGAGCAAGTAGACCAGGAAACTATGTCAGTCATCAGGACAAGGTCATAAGAATCTGAGCTATAAGGATAATGTCCAGTCCTCAGTGGAGAAATGAGCAAAAAAAAAAAAAAAAGGGGGGGCGGGGCTGGCTCAGTCTGGAACATCAGGAGCCATTGGATGTAAGGGGCTATGCTGAGCAGAAAGTATAGTGTCAGAAACTCTGCAGTGGGGAGGGGGCTAAGCTGGTGCCAAAGAAGAAATTCCAAAGGAATCACTCAAATATTGCATAAAGCACAATGTTTTCTATGGAAATTAGGATGATTTTATTTTTCTCACATAGTGGGAGATTCAGAAAAGGCAGTCGATGGTGTTATTTATGTACTGTGGTACTGATGGTACTGTATGAAGTCTCTCTGAATCTGTTGGCCTCTAAGTCATGATTGCAAGAAGGCCACTTTAAGTCCAGCCATCACATCTATAGCTATCTCATCAGGGAAGAGAAAGGGAAAAGAGTCTATATCAAGAAAATAAATTTTTTTCCATGAGTTTTATAGTACACTTCTGCTCATGTCTCATTGGCCAGACCATGTCATATAGTTAGGTCAAAGCTGGAAGTGATCCAAAGAGAATAGGGTTAAAAAGGAAAATTCTGAGGTTTCCAGTAAAGATGGCAGTGTAGACAGACATGGTCCACCTCTTCACACAACCACATCAAAATTACAGCTAAAATAAAAAACAACCATCACTCAGAACCATCAGAAATTAAGTTGAATGGAAATCTGACAACTATGGAATTAAACAAACCACATCCATCTAGACTGGTAGGAGGTGTGTAGAAGCGGAACAGGCTGGTCTCTCAGCCATGTGTGGTGGATAAAAATTTG